ATATATATATATATATCAGTTCCCGAGGTTCTGTCAGGCGATCGTATCTCTTAGACTGACAGTAGTAGGACCAAAACAGGATTGTCAAGTGGTGGTACCGCCCGGTGCTATCGCTAGTATCCAAAAAATTCGGGATGAGATACTTTTTTATTTTATTTTTAAAACCATTTGAGACCTATAAATATCTCAATCTTTTATGCATGAAAACACACGAAAAATAAACAAAAAACTTGTGATCTATATGAGAAAACACTTGTAATTCCTTGAGAGTTCCCCTCCTCTTCCCTAAGTGTAATTTCTATTTAAGGGAGAGCTGAGAGAACCGTAAAGGTTATCTCCTAAACTTGTGAGGAGAATAAAACTGTAAGAGGGTAGTTGATCTTCACCCATTGAAAGAAGATCAATAGTGGAAGCAGATAATCTCAACGAAGGATGAATCGGGAGTGGACGTAGGTCACGATGATCGAACCACTATAAAATTGGTGTGCCTTCTTTTCTTCGTCTTTTCTTTATATTGCTTACTGTTTTAGCTTCTCACTCCACTTCACACTTTCTTTAGGTTCAAACGTATTTCCGATGCGATTTTATCGAATGAAGGTTTTCATATCGTCGACGATTTTACGTAAGTACTAATTCACCCCTCCTCTTAATGTCGATTTTGGTTCTAATAGTTGGTATCAAAGCTAAGGTTTTTCCCATTTGGTTTAACACCCAAAAGAAATTACTTTTGCTGACAATCAAGAGGGTCTTTCTATCACTTGTCCTTTTATGTTTAATAGGACAAACTACATATATTGAAAAACTTATATGAGAATTTTCTTACTTTCTATGGATTTTGATTTCTGAAATATTGTACAAAGCAGTTTTCAGAAGTCTTCGAAACCAATGAATGAATAGAATGATTTGGAGAGGAAGAACCAATGAACGAATAAAATTATTTGGAGATGAAAACTTTCTCGATGAATTCTAAAGTAATGATACTTTATTTTGTGCTCTTGATAAAAATGAATTTAATCGGGTTTCTATATGCCAAACTGCATATGATATTTAGCATAAACTCGAAGTCACAAACGAAGACACAAGTAGGGTTAAAGAATAAAAAATTAATCTTTTGGTACATAGATATGAGTTTTTTTAAATGAAACTAAGCGAGACCATTGGAGATATGTACACCCGTTTTACGGATATCGTCAATTGTTTAAAAGCATTTAGTAAAATTTTTTCTAATTTTAAACTTGTTAATAAATACAAAGATCCCTTCCAAAAAGTTGAGATCCTTAAGTTACTGTAATATAAGAAGCAAAGGAATGAAACAATTTTTCGCTTGAAGAACTTATCAGGTGTCACGCCCCT